TTTGGGTCTTGTTTCCTTCAAGCTTAACGACCTGCAGAAAATAAAAACCTGTCTAGCTCACACTCTGTCCACCCTTTTCTCTGCCCAGGGGCCCTTGTTCTGCACACATGAAGGACAGTCCTGAGCACAGCCTGATGTGGTCGTGCTGAGGCCAGGCTGCAGGTGCCTGCCCAGCCTTGGCCCAGTGGCACAGCTCGGCAGGCATGTGTCCTGTGCCCACATGTTTTTGCCCACTACTCTCTTGAAGCTGTCCTTCTGCAACGTCCGGCCCTTAGTGTGCAAGGTCTTGAAGGCCAGAGCTCTCTAGGATGGAGCCTCACAATGTCACGTTGCGCTGAGTGATGACGTACTGTCCTGCAGAGTACACAGCAGGTGACCTCTTGGCCAAGGAGACCCCAGCAGCACCTCAGGACCCACATGCGGTGGGTTTGGTGGCTGAGTGCCCTTAGCAAGGCATAGATTTTGCTCCTTGGCTTCCTCATTGTCTTCATGACATTGAAATGCCACAGCAGCCCTTTCTGCCACCAGACGGGCAGAAATCCATCCTGAATTAGGTCATTATCCTCTTCTTCACCGTCACTGGAGAAATCGGGGAGTTTCTTGTTTGAGAATTGCTGCATGATGATTTGGTATGAATGTGGTTTGTGTCACGCAGCTGCCTTGGTGCAGCCATTCCAAAGCAAGGCTCCTTGGGACATCAAATATCATCCCCTACCCAGCTCTTGCCACCTTTGTCAGATGTACAAAATGTATTGTTTAGGGTCTCAACACCAGACTAGAGGGAAGATGTGGCAGTGTGTGTATGATTATTTAGCAATCTTTAAGCTAGGGATAGAATTTGTTTTCTAATTAACCTGCTGTGTCTGGCAGTAAATTATAGAGAACCTTGCTCAAGCGACCCCCCAGTTTCTAATTATCTGCACTAACCTAGCAGCCTGACGAGTAAGCCTGTTGCTGCTGCAGTACATATTTATGTTCTGAGTCCTCTGGGAGTGTGGCAGTAAGATCCATGCTTCGAAATTAAGGGACATTTTTCAGCCCCGAAACAAAATAATGAAACGCTTAAACAGTGCTAGAAATATTAGGGGACTCAGAAAGCTACAGGGAATCCGAAAGGTGTTGAACCTGTTCCACGAAGCTGTTCGTTGGTATTCTGATCACTGGAGGCTCAGAGCGTACCAAAAAATTATTCATGATTAACATCGATGGTGTAAACAGCATATTTTAAGTTGCTAACAATCCAGCTTCTGGAATAAGATGAGTCGTTGTGTCCTGCTTCTCCAGAAGCTCAAATAGCACATTGGCCCATTTCGCACAGGAGCAGCAGGCTTGAAAGTGAGAGCCCTGAATTTTGGATTTGATTCAGGCTTTGAAACTTTAAGCATTTTTGTTACCTTATCTCTGGTTTCCATCTGTAAGAATTCTGGTCTCCTCTGAGTCCTGGGGATGCAGTGAGGAAAACGTAAGAAGACACGTGAGCTTTTGCTGGAGAATACATACATGGCAATCTATGATTCTTCTGGTCAAGAACTAGGAGTAACAAGAACACGTGACATTTACTGGGCACCTGTTATGTGTCAGGTACTGTATTAAAGGCTCTACATACATTACCTCTTAATCTTTGCTAGAGCCCTTCGAAGGTAGGTGCTGTGGTTATCTACCTTTGAAAAGATGGGGAAACCGTGGCGCAGCAGAGGGTCTGCGTGGGGCCGCGCCCACGTCACAGGTACAGTAGCCGTGATTAGAATTTACTCCACTGGTGAGTCAGAGTCATACACATGGATTATGTTAGAAAGGAAAACTATCTAAAGATACCAGTCTTGATTCAAAGATTACCTTTCTTTCTAACATAAATATATCTGCTGATTGAAGGTAAAAAATCAGTAATTCATTAACATTTGCCAGTCACTGATAAGATGAATAATGAGGCACTAGAAGCTAATTTAGAAATAAAGTGGGAAAAACAAGACCTCCATAGATTGCACAGCAGAAAGAATGTGAGTATTGGGCGGAGTTGTGGGGACGCTATGACACGATGGGGGAGCAGCTCTTCCCCCCGCAGCAAGAGTGGCATCCATCAGCGCTGCCTGGCACCTCTACTCCAATCCATCTATGGGCAGAAGGGAAAACAAGGGGCACTTGGGGGAGCAGCTCTTCCCCCCGCAGCAAGAGTGGCATCCATCAGCGCTGCCTGGCACCTCTGCTCCAATCCATCTATGGGCAGAAGGGAAAACAAGGGGCACCGGCTCCCCTTTGTGTTCGACACACACCCCCCAGCAAGGCCTCCATCGTTTGTCCTGATAGGCGAGTGTGGGGTCGCTCGGTTCTGAGATGAGACCGTGGACACATCACCAGGGTGCCGGGGGGCACCCACACACTGCATGGAGAGCTTCCGTTTCCTTCCCAGTGGTACCGACATCCTGGCCTTTGTCATCAAAACAAAGGCCTTCCCAGCACAGCACGGTGCATGTCAACATCTGTGGCACTAATCTCGCCTCCTGGCCAGTGAGGTGCCCTGGGTGGTTCCTAGTGTCCTGAGGAAAACGTGTGCTGGGAGTCTCTAATGGGGACACCCTTGCTGCACGGAGGTGCGGGGTGCAGGAGGTACGGGGTGCACGTCGTTCTGATGGTGGCTTTTCTTATTTAAAGGTAGGCTCCCAGGTGGTGAGAGAGGAAAAGACCATGGTGAGGCTGAGCACACACTTCGTGGGTCACCCTCGGGCTGTCCTTTCTTGTGGCGACACTTGCTCTTGTGTAGGAACCGTCTCTTGCGGGTTGCTCAGTGCCTGCGGTCTGAGAGCTGAGGCCTGCTGTGCCCCACTTTTGTACTTGCCTGTGCAGACATGTTTTCTCTCCTTTCTCAGGCTACCTTTTTTTAAAAACAGTTTTTTGAGAGTTTGTCGTTGAAGGTGAATCTGCCCCCGAGTGGTGGGGTTCTGAGTCTGCTCTTGCCTGCTGTAGTCATGCTGTTTGATTGTGGTCACTGTGTCGTGTGGCCTCTGCAGAGAAAGAGCTCACCTGCTCTCATCCGAGTATTTCATCTTCTGACTGTGTGTGAGACGCCAGTGTGTGAGAGGACACCTCATGTTCCAAGCTTAAAGGCACTTAGCGAACCGTGCGTTTGTTTCCTGCACCAGTCATTCGTTCATTCAGCAAATGTATGTTGAGGACTTGCTGTGTGCCAGGTTCTGTTCTAGGCTCTGGATAGTAACAGGACACTTGAAGTCTTGCTCTCATTGAATTTACGTTCTAATCAAGGGACAGAAACATCAAAACATAAATAACAAAAATATAAGATTACCAAGAGTGCTATATGGTGATATGAAATAGTGGCTGGTTCTTTGAGCAGCCAGGTAAGGCCTGTCTGAAGGGTAACACTTACACTGAGATCCACCTGGCCAGAAGGAGCCAGCTGAGGCTGGGGGAAGCATTCCCGACAGGAGCCCTGCAGACTCTGAGTCGAGCATAGGCTTGGATGGTATCCGAGTGTGGTTCAGTATTCACAGTCAACACACTCATCTGGGAGCACTCCGTGAGTCCACAGTGGCCTCTGAGTCTGACTTAGATCACTGCATCCAATGGGAAACTGAGGTACCTGGTAGTTTGGGCATTACCTAAGTTAAATGTTTTGCTTTGTGAATCAGTGTCTGTTAAGAGCAGCAGCCACCAAAGGGAGCAGTGGCACAAGGACTGGCTGACGGCTTCTGTTGGCAAGAGGACGCTTGGGGGGACCCGGCAGCCAGCGGGAGGGCTGTCTTGTTCTTAACTGAGATCTTTAAGCTTATTTCCATGATGATGACCCAAACAGATGTGGCGTGGCCATGTATTGCATGTCCCATAGGTATTGTGCAAGACCAGAATGCACCTTCTAAAACATGAGGGATTGTTGTGCTAAAGACAGTTTCTTCACTGTCTTTGATGCAGGAGAGCTCTTTGTTCCCCCTCTAATTGCCTGAAAGCAGGACACAGATTTACGAAGACATAGGCATCCCTCTCCCTTTCTACCACAGAGAGCGAAGGTCAGCCTCTGGAGATGACTTTGGGCCCTCATGGTCCTGGAGATGGCACCCGAGGAATGGACATGAAGCAGCTTTGCTAACCAGACTTCATCTGCCAGCTATTGGCCTTCTAGCTTCCCCCCCCCCCCCCCCACCCAACCCC